TTTGGAAGTCATCTGATTTTCAAATGCATGCATTCTTCTCCTCGATGTTGCCTGTCAGTGATTTTCTAGCCACTTCTTGGATATGTCTAGAGACAGAGGCTCACTATTTCATAAAGCAGACCCATCACTAATGGTTTATCCAATTTTTAGAAAGATGTCCCTTACACTTATCAACCCAAACATGCCTTTACATTCCACTGACTTGTTTTGCTGCCTATTGAGAGGTGCTATGGGGCACGGAGACCTAAATTCAGTCTTGGCTCCAGCACTCGTTATTATCTTCCTTCAGAGTACCATCTATTAAGTACGTCCTGTGTATTAACCCGTGACATGCGCTCTTACTTAATTTTCATTAAAAAAATCTATAAATGTAGGTACTGTTTTTGCTGTACCTTACTATGCAGAAACTGAGGATAATAATATTTGTAGTAATGATAATGACGATAATAGCATTATTGGATGCCAGCTATGCCAGGTGCTGTGTGAGCCCTTTTATATACATTATAAATATTATCAGAATTTAAGTAACTTGCCTATTCTCTACCTAGTATCTGAAGAAGCAGAATGCTCACATTCAGGTCACTTGTTAAAAGGACTCTGGATTTAACTCTTTAAGCTTCATTTCTTTGTCTGGTAAATGGGAGTACCGTTCTCTTCCTCAGAGGCTTTCTGAGATTCAAAAAGATGGCCTTTGAAATTATCAGCATTCTTGCTTGACAAATACTTCCTGCCACATTTCATTTATTCACTTTTTTTTAAAGACAGTTTTTTTAGAAGACTCTTCCTTCCTCTCTCTCCAGGTTTATGTTCTCCAGGCTAAATATCCCCATTTCCTTCAGTCTTTATTCATTCACTCATTCACCAAATCTGTATGCGCTGTCTGCTCTATCGGAACCGACATTCTAGAGAGGAAACAGATAACAAACTGGAAACATGATGGCAAGTGAATCATCTACTGTGTTAGAAGAGAAGAAGTGCCATGGTGGCGAGGACGGGTGGGTAAGGCAAGCAGGAGAAGAGAAATTCAGAGTTTGGGAGTGGGTGGTGTATCATTTACTATGGCTGTGTAACCAATTGCTCCCAAAACTTAGTGGCTTAAAGCAACAATGATAATTTATTATTGAGTTCAGAAATTCAGACAAGACATAGTGGGGTTGGCTCTGCTTCACAATGCCTTGGGCCTCAGCCAGAAGACTTGAAGAATGGCACCTGGAATCATCTAAAAGCTCGCTTACTCACACGTCTGGTGGTTGACCCTGGCTGTCGTCTGGAGTCCTCAGTTCTTCTCCATGTGGCCTTTTCCACCTGGCCTGGGCTTCTCACAACATGGAGGCTGGGTTTCAAGGGTGAGAGAGCCAGGTAGAAGCCGTATTACCTTTTATGACCTAACCCTAGAAGGCCATACAGCCTCATTCCCACCATATTCTGTTGATCAAGGCAATTTCAAAGTTCCACTTGGGTTTGGAGAGAAGGAAAATGCACCCTACCTCTCAATGGAGAAGTGTCATATCATGTCATAAGAAGAGCATGTAGGATGGGATACATATTGGTATATCCCATCCCTTTGGAAAATACAGTCTGCCATGGTGGGCAGGGTAGGTTCATTGATAAGGTAACATTTGAGCAAAGATTTAAGGAGGTAAGGGAGCAACCTGTTTGCCTATCTCTGTCTGGGGCAGAGCATTCCAGGCTGAGGCAAGAGCCTGTGCAAAGGCCCTGAGGCAGGAGGGTGCCAGGAGAATTTGGAGGCTAGTAGGCTGGAGCACAGTGATCAAAGAAGAGAAGAGTAGGAAAGGTGCTCTGAGAGATATGAAGGAGGATATATGTAAGGCCTTATAGGCCAGTGTGAGTACTTTGGCTTTTACCACGAGATGAGAAGCAAAATGGAGGATCTTGAGCAGTTATGTTTTAGAACAATCACTCTGGCTAACGTGTGGAGAATAGACTGGGATGCGAGGGAGGTAACAGGAGAAGGAAGACAAGTTAGGAGACTATTGCATTAATCCAGGCAAGAGAGGTTAGTGGCTCAGACCAAGATGGTAGCAGTAAAGGTGGTGAGAAGTGATTGGATCATAGATCTATTCTGAATTAAAGCACCAAGATTTCCTGATGGGTCAGATTTGTGGTGTGAGAAAAAGAGGGGTCAAAGATGTCTGGGCCATTGCAGGGATGGAATTGCCACCTTCTGAAACAGAAAAGGCTGAGGGCAGACAGCTTTCAGGAAAAGACCAGAAATTTGATTTTAGAGATGCAAGTTTGAGATATCTGTTAGATATCCAAGTGGAATTGTTTGAAGAGGTAGTTGGATAAATAAATATAGAGTTCCCGAGAGAGATCTAAGCTGGAAATAAAAATTTAGGAGTCATAGGCATAATGGTATTATTTAATTGTGATCCTGGAAGAAAACAGCAGTAGATTGAGTGTAGAAGTGAAGAGGACCCAGGACTGAACCCTGAGGGACCCCACCACTGACAGGTTGGGGAGAAGAGAAGAAACCAGCAAAGGAAGCTGGCAAGGAATGACGAGGAATGTCCTGGATGCCTCAAGAATAACGTATATAAGGAGGAAGGATACACTCAGTGCTCTGATAGGTCAGGGAAGCTGGGGCTGAGAACCATTACATTGAGCAACCATCGAGGTCACTGGTAGCCTTGACCAGAGCAGTTTCAGAGGAACAGTGGATGGTCACCTGACTGGAACGAGCTTATAGGGAATGGAAGGAGAGGAATTGGAGAAAGCAAGTATAGACAACACTTTCCATGAGTTTTGCTGCGAAGATGAGCAAGGAAACAGAACAGTAGCTGACTGGGGAAGAAGAATCAATAGAAGGATTTGTGTTTTATTTTTTAAGATGGGAGAAATAACAAAATGTTTATATGCCATTGAGAATGATGCAGCATAGAGTGAAAATTGATATTGTAGGAGAGGGGGGAGCAAGGGAGGGGTGAAGCCGTGGGGTGATGTCCTTGGGATGTCCTTCATATGCTTTAGTTTCAAGGACCCTCGCTGTCTTCCCCTGCAGGGTCTGTGTTGAGGAGTGTGTGGCATGGGTGGTAGAGATAAGGAAAAGGAAAAAGCCAGCAGGCCACTACCTCTCCTGAGTTGCCTTTTTGTTCACTCCCTTCTGTCTCTCCCCATTTGGACTAGGAACCCCAACTGGTGGGGGAATGGGAAACATAGCAACTCTCCAGTCCTTTTGCCACCATACAAAAGAATCCTAATGTGAATGGATACACACCACCTTTCAGTTGCCAGCAGGTCATCATCTTCCCCCTTCTTTCTAGCTCTCCTACGTCTATAGCAGCCTGGCTTGAAGACAGTGAGAGGTCGCTGAGCGGAGGAGTGGGTGTCGGAAGAATGCAATGCTGACACACACCTCTGGATGAGTCACTGTTCATTTAGGGAGAGAATCTCAAAGAGTAATGAAAATTGCCAAGAGAGGCACCGGACTAGTCACTGAACATTTCCACTTCACCTTTAATTTTAGAAAGAAAGCAGCAGGAAGAGTACCAATGAGATCATGAAAAAAAAAATTACTCCTTGATTTTTCTTTTCACTGATTGGAAAAAGAAACATTGTGGAAATGTGCTTCTGGTGCCCCTCATTTTTCATCATCCTACAGTTGAGTGACTGTAGAATTCCCAAAGTTTGGCACATGGTATTGGGACTGTTGGGGTATCATTCCATCAAAATCTGTTATTCCTCCTGTATCCTATTCCTCTGTGTTTCAGTCTTCTCAAATAGATTTCCAGTTTTACAGCTAAGAAAAATTAAGCTTTGAAATGGTAATTCCCTTTGCTATATTTGTGCAGTGGTAATTTTGTAGCTCAAAAGTTTGGATTTGTCAAAATCATAATTACCGATACAAAATTAAAACCAACTATTCCAGATCATTAAGATGAGAAGGGATGCAAAACAATGCTGATTTTGTGTTTTTGACCAGCCTCTTTTCTGACCTGTCATGTAATTGGTAAGAACACTGGAGAGACTATAAGGTTTTGATCTGTAGAATAAAGTCAGTCTATTTGTTTTAAGCAGCAGCTCAGATGTTTAATAACTTTTGATAAGGAAATTGGAATTCTTAGAAACATAGTGTGAAAACACCAAGAATTAATCCAGAAATGCGTATCTTATGGTCTGTGAAATGCCTCATGTCGTCCCTTATCTTGGATTCCTCTTCTCCTCTAAGACCATCGTGTTTTAGGTGTTACAGAACGTTGAAATGATGGAAGACGTGATGTGAACAACCCGTGTTATTACTGACTCCGGCAACCTCCCTCCTGCCTTTCCCCGTCTGCACCCTCTGTGCCACCTCCGTGACTCTGACCGCCCCCCTCCTTGCACTTGTCCATGAATTGAATTTTGTGTTTCAGACCACCCTGCACAAAAGCCTGTTTTGCACAAGAGCAGCCCATCATGTCAGCACCCTGCCCCCGGCTGGAGCTTATTCTGATTCGGTGCTATGTTTCTAAAACCAGATTTCCATCTTCCCGTTGCACTGGGGCGTGTGTTTTTCTTCCACGACCATATACCAAGCATGCCTTGATCAATCACCACGCGGTTCTTCATCAGACTGGTTTGGATTTTACAATGTGTTAGGGTTTCTAAATAGCTCATAAGGTCTCTCACACTTGAGTTTATACCAGAGAAGTTATGGAATGATTAACGTAATAAGGGGCCGTTTATCCCTAAAGATGACCAACTTTATTTCTGCTTAAGCTGAGCGTTTGTGGATAACAAACAACTCTTTGTAAATGGCAATGGCAGAACCATGCAACTTTACGGCCTGTTTCTGCTGTGTAAATGGTTGGGCAGCTCATTAAGTTCCCTCAGTCATAGTCAGGGGTTACTGCTGAACACTCAGAGGACGAGGAGAGCACTATGAAGCTTCAAGAAGAACTAGGCAGTTCTTTAAGAGAAGGAAAATGAAGTAACTGTAGCATCTCTGATGGTACCATACTTTTTCCCTTATTGTCTCTTTTCTGCATTCTTCCCTCCAGAGCTGCCCAGAAGTTAAACCTGTCTTCTAAAAAGAAGAAACATCGACCTTCTACTTCTTCTGTTGCCGAGCCACCTCTCTTTGCCACCAGCTTCAGCGGCATCCTGCAGACATCCCCTCCCCCAGCCCCACCCTGTCTGCTGAGGGCTGTCAACAAGGTGAAGGACACCCCAGGCCTGGGCAAGGTAGGCCCCTCTGCCCTCTCCACCACTGGCTCAGGGTGTGGGGTCTGTATCAGGGGATGAGAGGAAAATGAGGGCTCCTGTTTGTGTGTTAAAACAAGAAGGTGACAGGGAAAAAAAGGAGACAGAATGAAATTCGTTTGGAAGTACGGCACATTTTTTTTGTTACGTATACTAAATAGTAAATTAGTAAACTAAGACATTCCAATTATTGAAGATCTGGTTTGATTTTGGCAGGAGAAAAACAGCCTAGTATTGTTTAATAGAACTGTAAGCATTTAAAGAAAAGACGCAAAAGACAGAAGAAGGCAGAGGGAGAAGACCAAGAAAAGACACAGTACAAGAATAAGACATAAAGATGCTTCGTAATTTTCCTGTGACACTTTCATTTTTTCCTCCTCTTGAGAGAAATCACAACTTCTGCTTTTGAACCAGACCAGTGATGAGATCTCTAGGGAGCATTTTCAGCTGTGCCATTCTAGCCAAGAAACGCAATTTTGAATTGTTAGAAACACTTAGAAAGAGATGTGGGAACGCTATTACGAGATGTTGCTCAGCTCCGTTTGGGATGACTTTGTTTTTAAATGTCATCTCTAAACTCTCTCTTCTGAGATAAACGTCTGGGTGAAGTAACTTTTGGTTTGCTCTTCAATTGGTAAATAAACTGGGATTTATAAAAAGGTTTAGCTAAAGAAAGGGGTAGCTGTTTTATTTCTTTTATTTTCATCAGAAGTAGGATGCTGCATACAACCTCGCCGGTCCCTTGCTGACTTAATGTGACTCCAGCCTTAGGCTTCATTTTGGGAAATTGTAGGTCTTGCTGAAGGGAACAGCTGCTAAACTATGGGGACTGGGATTTTACTTATTTTGATCACAGATTCCCTTTCCCCTTGACTCCCAAACATGCTTATTGCCAGGTTCGTGGTCTTCGGTGGCCCCAGCCTACTTCAGTAGTCCTTCTGGAGTTCACATTGGCACCCTTTTCCCCTTCTTCCCTTGTGCGTTCCTCCTTTCTGCATTACTCCTGTCTCCTCCTGTGCTCTCCACCCCCAATTTCACCACCCTGTTGGGAAGGTATGAACTTGCTATGTTACTCTTTCCAACAGCGTTTAAATTTTAAGATTATGTTGAGTAGAGCAATGCTTACTTTAACGGAAAGCATGCAGTCCTGGAATTTTCCATGGCATTGGGCAGGGCAAGTCGTTTTCAGCTGATGGCTTTCCTTGGCCCAGAAGTCAAGTGAGAAACATGGCAGCAGGGCAGCAGCCTCCACTCAGCCTGGGAGGGCTGCTGTAGCATCACCGGCCATGGAAGGAGATGGAGAAAACCATATGGACCAGGACTCCTCTCTGGGAGAGGACTCGTGTGGGTGGGAGCTGCTGAGCAAGGGCAGTGACACCCCCACGGGGGCACCACAATAGAAGGTTGATATGCTGCCTTCTAAGGAGGGTGGGTACATGTAACTGCAGGCCTTTTTAAAAAATTTTATTTTTAATTATGACAAATTACACATAACATGGAATTTACCATCTGAACCATTTTTGAAGCGTACATAGGCTTTTGTTTTGCTGAGAAGAGTTTGGAACTTTAGCACCAGAGCTGAAGTGCCCTGGACAGAATGAAATGGAGCTCCCATTGCAGTCTCCTTCTCCTCTTAGAGCAACATCCAACTTCACTTCTGTAACTGTGAACAAGTATTTAAATACTATCATGTTGAAGAGGCACCAGGTTATTAGCCAGCCTGGTGCTCTCACACACCCTCTAAGGTCCTGTCTAAGATACCTCGAAATGAACCACATAAGAAACCATCTTCCTGTATCCATCATAGTGGCCCTGGCTGTAGTTCCTAAAAGGGTCAATGTAGATGCAGCTTCAGGTGGGCCTAACACCCAGGCCTTGGTCTCCTCCTTCCCCCATCCCGAATCCCTACCCCCTTCCCTTGAATTCTGGGACGAGGGGATCAGGGCACCAAGGCCAGGGACGGACCCAGCAGAAAGACTGTTACCAGCCAGGAGGATGAGTCAGCACTGGCCGCAAAGAAGTTTCGGGGGCGCTGGTCCAACCTTGACTTCATGACATACTGTATGTAGTGGCCAGAGATAAGTGTAATTATAAATAACACAGCCAGGTATAAGAGCAGGTACCACTACAATTAATATTATAATCATTAGTAAACTAAAACTTGCAAATCATACACCTTTTTTTTAATGGAAGATATTATTCTTCTCACTCACTTGCAATCCAATATGCTTTTTTTAAATGGGAGAGAAAGAGATGACATAACCAGCTAGGAATAGCAGGAAGCCCTGAGTTTGTCCGTGGAAGTGTGTCATGGATGGGGTCATCAGATGGGGTATCAGAGAAGGTGATGGAAGGTATGCCACATGGCAGCTGTCCTGTGGAGCATGGGGGCTGTGTTTGCATTGGCGGGGAGGAAGTGACAGTGGGAGGGAGTGTGCTCTCTGGAAGTAGTAATCAGATACTTGTAACTTGAAAACGTGTGTGTGATGGAAACAAGAGGTCGTTAAGCACACCTCCCTTCCTGCCTCCTCCTGCACCAGGAGTGTCTGCTTCACTTAAGGCCAGAGGCCTTTCCTCTGCCACAGGGACGAGACGCCCAACTGCTTGACCTTAGCTGAGGCTCCTTGCCCAGCCTCATGCTTTTCCCACCCTCCTATCTCACTATGATTAGGAACTGCAGTTCTTACCCATATGGAAAAACTTCCATCAGTTCATCTCTGTGCATAATTTACATGTTCACATCTCAAAGAAATACGGTAGAGTTCAATAGAGAACACAAATGGTGAGATATATATATATATCTTAGTATGGCTGAAGTAGATAAACCTGATGGAATTGACAATACAACCTAATTATTTAAACCTGAGGAGGGTGGGGAGCAAGCCCAGCCCAACCCCCACCTCTCATGCCTCATCACCCGAGGACTTCCTCAGGGAACCTGGGGGGTTTTCACAGGTATGGAAGGGATTTTAGGTGTTTCTTTAGAGCAACCTTCTCATTTAGTGAACAAGAAAACTGAGGCCCCGAGAGGGTAAGAGATTTTCAGGTGCCTCCTGATCGAGCCTACGAGTCAGAACCTTTAAGTCATTTTATTTTCTACTGTCTCACCGCGCTGCCACTAGATATATATGACCTTTAAAATTTTAGGCTAGAGACAGGAGTGTAATGCAGCCATGGTGGTAGCACAATGACCTTGGGAACCAGTTGGCTTCATCCAGTGGAGAAGGACCCACTTCCCTTTTCAGAGTCATGGTTGGGAGAGGAAGGGCCGTAACAGGCAGGAGCAGACACACAGGGAGAGCAGAGGCTCTCCATTCCACTCCTGCTGATTCCAGCAGCAACTCCCCCCACCCTCCAACCACAGTCACTGCTGGCCGCCAAGCACTTCTTGAGGCCGAAGCTCTTCTGGAGGCCGTGGTGATGGGAGAATTTGAGGTGACTTCAATATACTTCGAGCAAAAGCACAGTGCACACAGCACAGGAAAGATGTCAGGATCCTCAGCACCTGGAGAAGTTCTTGGCACCTGGCAAATATTTATTGAGCACTGATTATGTGTCACCCAGGCTCACAATCATGGACAAGCCAGAATGCCTGTCCTTACAGCACTTATAATCTTATAATGCATTATTCCAGTCTTAGCAATCTCACCAATTTGGACCAATATGAAGGACAATCTGATTTAAGGAAAAGTTGAAATTACAGACTTAAAATAATTCTGTCTAACCTTCAAGATATATAAAGAAACTATACTAAGAGGTCTTGTAGAGACATTCTTAATGAATAGATAAAGATGATTAGTAGATCAAAGCGCTTAGTCCACATTTATATTTCACTGATTTGGCTTATATGTTAATGATACTTCTAATCTGTTTGAAAATGGTTCCTTCTCCTAAGTCAGTCAATGCTCTTCATGAAATTTGTTTGCTCAATTAATTAACATCCATGTTTAAGGTTCATTTGTTAGTGTGTCACAGCTTAAGTCAGAGCTCTTTGTCTTGGATTACAAGCTTCTAGAGCAAACCATGATATCTGTTTAGCTCGTTAAGTAGCTGGCTCTGCCGCCATACCCCGGGTGCAGAAATGCTTTTCCAGGTGAGAATGGTAATGGCCGACAATCGTAACTGTGATGATGACAATCCACCTTTATGTTGGTTAATTCTCCTCTTCCCACAAGAATACCTGCAGGGAAATACATGAAGCATGAAGGGAAAAGGAGCCTTCTTTTTCCTTCATAATCTCCAGGGATGCCTCAGAAGGATGGCATGATCAATACCCAGCTTTTTTTCCCCAATCATGTTTTGGGAATATAAGAAAACTCTTATAGAGGAGTGCTAGCAGCAAGAGAACAGACTCTATAGAATTTGGAAAGATCATAAAAAACTGGATGGTGCAAACATAAAGAGGAACTATGGAAAATTAAGCTGGGGACAGGTTGGGGAGGGCTTGTCATACTTGATTTATTCAGTGAATATCTATAGACATACTGTGTTCTAGGCACTGCAGTAGGCGCCACTGAAGGGGACAGTACACAGGAACTGGTTGGCTGCTCTGGGCCACATCCTGCAAAGGAAGGATTGGGTATATCCTGATCTTCATACACTCTAGACTCTCGCCAACATGTTTGCCTGGCATCAGCCTCAGCCACCACTCCTGAGCTACAAATGCTGTTCCCTTCTCCCTGGGATCCCCACTTAGCCTAGTCTGGGTAGAAGAAAGGCTGTGTGGTGTCCACTATGGTGGATCCCCATCAGCACCCGTGCCCATCCATCTGTGCATTTCTGAAGCGCTTCACTGAGATTTCTCTTCTGGGGGCAACACAGCCCACAGGCAGGCGCGTTGGTGGAGTCCTCAGAGTGGCGATTTAGAAATACACCTGCTTGCCTGGACAGATTATTTTTCTTGCGCAATAAGGGCTGGAGCCGTTATTCTTTCTTCTTCTCCATCCTCATTTTAAGTCATCTGTCTTATTTCAGCACTATTT